TTTTTTTTACTCACATCAGGTCTGTTTTATCCTCTGAGGATCATGAATTGTGTCATATTGCGAGATTAGGTATTAAACACCCTGGCCCATAAATACATTGGACAGATATTCACTATAAGGTAATATCATGTAATATAGTCGAGTTTTATTGATAGAAGGAACCAATTTGTTGACCCCGTTTCAGCATTTCAGCACCACTGCATCATGGACAGCTCCTGCATATTCATGAGGCTGTAGTTGTGTAACTAACACTGACAGCAAAGTTGTTTTTTGCTGTTTTCTTTTCTTCTTTTCTAAAATAAATAAATAAATAAATCAAAAAAATAAAATAAAACATAATTTGCCAGGCCCATAAACTTTACCCCTGTTGGGAGCGGCGCACGTCAGCTCTGTTTACAGACTCAGATCACAAAATAATCTCAGAGGTTTCAGCTCTTTGGAGGACAGTCATTATGGCTCATTAATAATTCAGGTGTTTATACTGCACATCTCAGCAACATATTTCTCACTCTGATAATTCACTGCGGGACAATTAAAAGCCTTTTGTTATTCCATGGAGTGTATGAAGGACATGAGGAAAAAGATGTCACCTTTTTCATAAAGTTTAGAAACTGCAGCCAACCTTGGATTTTTAATCTGCAGAATCTCAGACTTATTTCCATATCTGTGATGATTTTGTAAAAGAAATGTTTAATACAATTTCATACTGCCACTGATCCGCCTAATTGCATACATGAGCTACACATGCTTCACAAAAAATAATGATGGGAATGAGTGCCATGGTAATATCATGAATGATGATGTACAGCATAAATCTCTTATCCACACGGGCTCAAATGTGCACATTTTCTCTATTAAAATTTGGTTGAACCCCTGTTGGCTTCTGGTAGCCATCAACAAACTTCTGGCGTAATTCTGGCTGGATATTTTTACCACTCTTTTTGACAGAAATCATTTAAATTTTGGGGTTTCTTGGCACAGACCAACTTTTAAATGTAGTGGACATATTTTCAGTAGGGTCGAGGATACTCACTGTTAGCGTGCTTTATCCATTCCAAAACCAATTTTAACATCATTTTCCTGCTGGAACACCCAACTGTGTCCAAGATTCAATAATCTAGGTGTTGTAAACGGTGTGTTGAAACATTGCTGGACAAGAGCTGAATGTGCCATTCAGGCTTTTACAAACTGGGGCACCTGGTCAACTTACTTCACCTACTGGATAAAAAAAAAAAAAGTAACAACCAGAACTCACTCAGAACAGCAGAACGTTCTAGTAGTTATTCTAGTGTGAACAGCGTGGAAACGATAGAAAACTAGAATAAAGTACAACATGCATATTAACACGCACATTTTAAAAGACTGGGTGACACTACTGGCTGCATCCATCTTTAATCACTGTTTAAATTCAAACATTAAACACACATTAATAATGATGCAATCACTCAAAATAAAACAGGAGAGCATTACAAATCAGAAATTTAAAAAAAAAATATATAAACAAAAAGGAAACATACAAGCAAATCTGATGATTTAAAATAAAAATAAGGCAAAGCAGAAAGGCAAAAATATCAACATGACAAAAGCATAATAATAATAATAATAATAATAATAATAATAATAATAATAATAGCAGCTATATTTTCCTTAATTGGACAATGATGTTGATGAATCTTGAGACATTTCTTCTACGGCTGCTGGCTATATGTAGACGCAAAACTGGAAATTAGCTGCAGAAAAAGATAAGAAAAATGGAATGAAGTAAGACTAGGTGAATTCTTCATGTGTCTCTACCATTACCATTTATTCCAGCCTCTCTGACAGGAACAAGCAAGGATAAAGTCCTTATCAACCAATTTAAAAATCTAGATTTTTATTGTTAAAGCAGAACTGAAACGATTATCATATTATTCTACATGGAATTAATGCATCTCTTGGAAATTTAACAACCTCATTCCTTAGTAGTGAGCTCACTTACCACAGGTATCCCTCCTTAAACTCAGTGAATTTGTGCCGAACCATAAATGTTGCTAGTGCATCTGCTACCTAGCAACAGATGTCAGAGGAGCAAGTTAAAAAATTGAAAACAGACATAACAACACGCAGCACGCATACATAAATATATAACGTTATGGGCCTCTGACAGTACATGAGGACAGCGCCAGTAAATTCGGGTAAGAACGCTCACTTTCTCAGGTGCATCCTCGTGAACAGCGTGACCGCACTGAGGGAGGACCTGCATCTGAAACTTTCCTGCAAACAAATAATATTTTTTTAAATGCGTGTATTCTTACAAAAAAAAAATTGCAAAAAAAAAAAAAAGGGAAAAACAATCTGTGCACTTTACCCTGCATCTGTCCAATGGTAAGATCTTTGTCAAGCCTGTCCACTCCTGCACAACGAGATAAGTCAGGCGTGAAACTGTGCAGTCAGTGTGTCTGTCCTATTTAAACTACTAGATATTTGAGAAAAACAAAATATGAATAAATCGAACCTGCGAGAAGGAGCAGTTTTGGCACAGGGGTGGTGAGAAAGAGGGCCGACAGACCCTTGAACCAACCCTCCCAATATTTTTCTGTCTTGGAAAGCTCTACTCTCCAGGTGAAGATGCTCTCCTTTTTCGTCTGTGTGAAAGAATTCAAATACTCTTTTATAGCTTTCAATCTCTTTCCAAAACACTTACAGATGACAAGAGAAAACTAAGAACTAAGAGACCAAACCTCCTGGTCATCCTCCTTTGCTCTTTTCTTGCTGGATTCTTCTTCTGCTTCCTCATCTTCCTCTTCTTCTATAATACCTTCACCAATGCTATTAGACACCCCTGAGCTGCTGCTGGATTCCTCACATCTGTAAAAGTCACAAGAGAGGAAATTGAAACACTCAGTTAAAGCCACAAACCCACACAGAAAAAACTGCAGTGAAGAGAGAGCCCAGACACACTTTTTCACTTGGCCTCCCATGGACACCCGGGCTGACTCGATGTTTCGGATCTGGCCACTCTTCACACTGAAAGGAAAAAGGTGAAGAAAACCTTTAGGCACTTGTATACAACAATTAAGAATTGAAGCTCTTCAAGGTAAGGAACTACAACGAACAAATAAATAAATAAAGCAAGTTATTTCAGTGTGCTTTGGACAAATAACACTTGGCACAATTTGCAAACTAAAAGACAGAATATATATGTATGATGTAATCTAATCAAACAAAAAGATGCAGCAGTGCGGCTCACTGTTTAACATTTACCTCCACTCAATCGCATTTTCCAGAGATCTAAATGTTT